CCGCGGAATCTCTTGTAGCTGAAGGGGATGATACTAAAGCCTAGCAATTCTAACAGTCCTAAAACCGTCTAGGCTCTGATACCAAAATGAAACAACCAACATTTTTTTTTTTTTAATAAATATTAATCAATTCTAGCGAAGGTCTTTAAAATAAATTAAATAAATAAAATATCAATAACAAATAAATCAGCTCAGCGGAAGCAAATAATAATTAAACAAGTCTAGCAAAATAATGCAAAACAATAAAACAGTAAACATCCTATCATCCCCCTCTTCAGCCTTGATTCCGCGATCACACAAATCTTTTACCTGCAACACATTGGAATGGAGTTGCGTAAGTATTTAATAAATACTTAGTGAGGCAATCACTCTGCCTACGAGCCATTTACGCAATTTACTAGATATTTAATAATATTTATAAACTCCAATAATTATTAAATACCATTTTCCAATTATTAAATAATTTTAATAATTAAAACTCAATTTCTCAATTATTAAATAATTCTCATAATTAAATAATAATTTTCCATATTTTAAAATAATTAAAATAATACCAATTAATTAAATAAATATTATTTAATTAATTAAATCCGAATTAAATCTATTTAATTCCATTAAACCAATTAAATTCAATTAAACCAATTAAATTCAATTGAACCAAGATAAACCAGAATCAAATCAATTAAATTCAATTAAACCAATAAACCAGATTAAACCACACAAACACACAATTCATCACATGAACAACCAAAATATCATAAAAATAACAATTAAAACATAAACTCATCAAGAACAACCACAAACCAAATCTAATCTAGCAAATCACGGACCCACAGTCATGCACTCACCTTGACAATTGACTGAAACTGAAGGAAAAAGGAAGGACGATGAACAGTGCCGAATCGCGATGAACAGTAACCCGTGAACAGTACCGATGAACAGTAACCCGTGAACAGTACCGATGAACAGTGCCGATGAACAGTAAAATTCGAAAATCTCTCCAAAAACTCAACTTTTCTCCTCTACAGCATCTGAACTCGAAAATTCTCCAAAGAGAAGACGGCTGCACTCTTTAAACTTGATTTTAGGGCTTTCTCCACTAAACCGACCCAAACCAATTCACTTAAATTGAACCGACAAAATTCCCAATTTTTATTTTTGGTTTATGGATGTTACATGAACAGAGAAGACTTCATCTTCTTTTCATTTTGTTTTGTATTAGATTCTAATTTATATCATTTTCCATTACACTAATCCGTCTACATAATTGTGACAATTTTAAACTGATAGAAACATAGATATCGGAGAGCGTTTATGTCCTACATTACTATATTATTTTATATGAGAGAATTTTTCAGAATTATAAAAGATTATAACAAATGGCGTGTAAGATATTTTATTAGCTTGAATATGTATCATCAAATGTAGTATACATTCCAATACGCTATTTTTTTAAGTATCATCAAATATATTATAAATTGATGATAATAACAATAAATCTAAATTAGAAAGCCTGTTTAGTACAAAAGGCAAATAACCAATTTACAGACCACTTTCCAATCATTTACCCATCTAAAAATAAACCTTTGAAAACATAATTATCATAATTATTCTGATTCCGAGACTCGTACTCACTCACTATTCTGATTCCGCTTTCTTTCTTCAGTATACACGGCTCTTCATTATCTCCTTAAGCTTCTCAATCACAGCAGTTGGATCCGCTTGTGAATTCGCCAAATGCATCGCATACTCCAAACCTTTCCACTTAGCTATAAGCTTGAAATGAGGTCTTTGAAACCCGATGCTGATAATCTCAAATATCCTTGTGTTTGGTGTTGCGAGTATTCTCGATTCTTCTCGACGAACTAGACCGATGTAGGAGACGATTCAACTTCTTTTTCATCCATCACATACCAAGGACAAAAAACACAAAGGAAAACAAGCTAGTACATAGTGCACGAGATCTCCTTCATGATGTGTATTGCATAAACTTTGTTCCGCTAGCTTGGATCTCCGGACCATTCGAGGAACATAGCATGTCGACAAAAAAATAATAATAATAAAACCACATATAGTATTTTATTGATGTTTTTTAGTCCTCTAGAAAATTACTGATTAGTCAAAAAGTTTCCATACATTAATAAGAAACTAAAAAGCACAGGGAAAAAATCTCTTTCTAATATAGATACAAATTTTCTTTGATTAACTGATATTATAATTCTGACATGGTGAAAATATGCACATAGTAATAAATGTAGTCAACCCTATTTTTCCCATCATTCATTTACTTTCTTTTTTAGGAGTGTTTTATTGCTATGTTCAAAACACATGATGTACCACTATATAAACACAAACATTAGAACACATTCACTTAAAAAGAAAAAAACGCAAATAAAATAGCTATATCCTCCTTTTATAATCTCTAATTTATAAAAGAATAGTAACTTAGTTTTGTTGTGATATTCATCATGGCTAAGTTATCATGTTCTTATTTCTTCATGCTCATGCTTGTGTTTTTTGGTAATTTCATTTTTTTTCCATTTTTAAACAACAAATAAGATTTAATTTTAAACTATACATTACAAAAATGATCAAAACATGCACATACTTATTATTTCAAATTTTATTTTATATTATTTTCAGTAGTTTCAGAAGCTCAGAGAAAGCAGTGTATTAAGATTCTTCCTCCACTCAATACATGTAATCCTTCTGATTGTATTGACAACTGCCGGGAATCATACAATGAAGGAGATGGAAAATGTGTTAATGGCACAATTGCCAGAGGTCCTCAATGTGTTTGTACTTATACTTGTTAAAGAGGCAAAATTCAAATAATATGTTTTATAATAAAACATTTATTTTCCTTAATCTATATGAATAAAATTTGGAAGTTCTTCAACCATTTTATGATTGAATAACAAATTTGAAAAAGAATCTTAGAAGATTACAGTCGCATTTTTCTTCTTTTATAAAATAAAAAAATTTAATGAACGTCAGATAATAAATATATATATATATATATAAATTAAGTGATATATATGTGTATCTAGATCAAGTTATCTATCTACACGTAATATTTCATTTTCTGTACTTCAATTTTCAGAAAAAAAAAATGATTTCCAAATTTCTAATTAATATACTCAAATTAATTTTTATTATAGGCAAACATTGCCAAATTTTCAACACAACTGAACAGAGAAGACTTCATCTTCTTTTCATTTCGTTTTGTATTACATTCTAATTTATGACATTTTCCGTTACACTAATCCGTCTACATAATTATGACAATTATAAATTGCTATAAACATAGATATTGGAGAACTTTTATGTCCTACATTACTATATTATTTTATATGAGAGAGTTTTTTCAGAATTGTAAAAGATTGTAACAAATGGCGTGTAAGATATTTTATTAGCTTGACTATGTATCATCAAATGTAGTATACATTCCAATACACTATTCTTTTAAGTATCATCAAATGTATATTCCAATGATTATAAATTGATGATAATAACAATAAATCTAAATTAGAAAGCCTGTTTAGTACAAAAGGCAAATAATCAATTTACAACTGCTTGCCAATCATTTACCCATCTAAAAATAAACCTTTTAAAACATAATTATCAAAATTATTCTGATTCCGAGACTCGTACTCACTCACTATTCTGATTCCATTTTCTTTCTTCAGCATCCACGGCTCTTCATTTTCTCCTTAAGCTTCTCAATCACAGCAGTTGGATCCGCTCGTGAATTCGCCAAATGCATCACATACTCGAAACCTTTCCACTTAGCTATAAGCTTGAAATGAGGTCTTTGAAAGTCGATGCTGATAATCTCAAATATCCTTGTGCTTGGTGTTGCGAATATTCCCGATTCTTCTCGACGAAGTAGACCAGTGTAGGAGACGATTCACTTCCTTTTTCATCCATCACATACCAAGGACGAAGAACACGAGGGCAAACAAGCACATAGTGCACAAATCTCTTTCATGATGTGTATTACATAAACTTTGTTCCGCCAGTTTGGATCTCCGGACCATTCTAGGAACATAGCATGTCAACAAAAAAAAAATATAATAAAACCACATATAGGCTTTTTTGTTGATGTTTTTTAGTCCTCTAAAAACTACTGATTAGTCAAAAAGTTTCCATACATTAATAAGATACAAAAAAGCACAGGAATTTTTTTTTTTCTAATGTAGATACAAATTTTCTTCGATTAAATTGATATTATAATTCTGACATGGTAAGAATATGCACATAGTAATAAATGTAGTCAAGCCTACTTTTGCCATCATTCATTTATTTTCTTTTTTAAGAGTTGCTTATTACTATATTATAAACACATCATGTACCACTTTAAAAACACAAATATTAGAACACATTCACTTTAAAAAAAAAAAGCAAATAAAATAGCTATATCCTCCTTTTATAATCTCTAATTTATAAGAATAATAACTTTGTTTTGTTGGGATATTCATCATGGCTAAGTTATCATATTCTTATTTCTTCATGCTCATGCTTGTGTTTTTTGGTAATTCCTATTTTTTCCATTTTTAAACATCAAATAATATTTAGGGTTAATTTGGTGAATAATAGTATTGGGTTTCATAATTTAGTAAATGTCCATAGGGTTTCTGAAATTTGAGCGTTGATTACACTCGCTGTAAATTTTCCAAATAGACATTCCATTTTCGGCGGGAGTTTTCAACAAGAGCTTCTTCTAATATTAAAGAGCTAAGCCGATTTCTTTGTCATTCAGCCGAAGAAACACGTCACATCAATATCCTAACACACAAAGAAAATATTTAATTCAAAAACTGAAACTCCCTCTAAATTGAAGTTGTGGACATAATTTGGCCAAGTATAACCCATTAAACCTAAAAACCCTTTCAGTAGTCTATTTCCCTGTATAAGTACCATTCCATCTCTATGCACGTTGTTCTGTTCTTTTTATTTCACCAAAAATGTCTGATAAAGAAAAAAAAGAAGCAGTAAATATGGAGGGTCCTAGTAGTCAGGTAAATAATCGAACCTTACCTGTGTATAAGATGAATTTTGTGGTTGAATAAAGTTAAGTGGAATAGTTAACTGTAGCGAATAGGTATAAATATAGATTTCCTTCATCCTCAACAAACAATATTTTTAGAAATCTGTAGATGAACTATTTCTAATCAAACAACTAATAGATCTGATATTTTTGTACAGAAATCTGGACAAGACGAAGTGAAACTAATTCTCAGCACATGGATTTGCAAATCTACTGGAGCCTGGCTTTTCGAAGCAGATACGATTGAAGGATCTTCAAGTATCAATCTTTCAGACGACCTAAAATTCCGAGATCTTATCGACGAAGTCGGCAAGAAGTTACAGATCTTGGCAGAGAACGTCAGTGTGAAGCTCGCTTATCAGTACCCTCAGTGGATGGTGATTGATGATGGCGATGGCTCAACTCCACAGTATATCACCAATGATGAAGAGGTCCAATTTTTCATTCAAATGCCTCGTCATATCGAGGAGGTCAATCTATGTGTCACACTTACAGCTCATGTCAATGAAATTCCTACAGTCTCTACATGCAACAAGAAGGAAATAAAAAAGACAAATGAGACAGAGGATGTTCCATCGTCTGAAACTGAAGAAACCGGAGACAATTCAGAAGACGAGTGGCACCAATTTGCTATGTCTGAGACGCCAATGACTTTTCCGGCATTTGGGTCCACACAACTATCTGATCTTCCTCCAAAACATCGTCACCGCATGCAGACACGAGCTACAAGCATCTCCATTAATGAAGGAGCATCTGCAATTCGACTTAATAGTCTGAATCTCGCTATCACTGACAAAGGAAAAGGAAAAGCCGTTGTCACCGATTATGGTAGTTCAAGTGACAGTGACAATGAAGATGATGCTGTTGTTCCTTGTTTACCGAATAAAAACCAACGAGTTCCTCATAACAACAACTCCACTGCCGATGTAAGACGTAGGTTGTTTCAGGATGGAGAGAACAGCCATTCAGAAGGAGTTAATCATGGCCAAAGTGATGAAGATGATGAAAACAATGATTATGAACCAGACCAAGGACGTCGTTTCAGTCGATGGGGAAGATTTGAGGAGGCTCTGCATCAAATTCTTAATGATTTCACTGCTGAACTAACTCTATTTGGCCGTGATGCTCCACCAGTCTTCTCAACTTACGAATGTGATGGTAAGCTAAAATCTAAGTCCCAACATTACATTTATATATGAATACATAGAAAATGGTAAAAGGAATATAGATGTATAAGTAACCACTTACTTTTCTTTTATCTTTTTTTGTAGAATTAGAAGCTGCGCTTGTTGACATTCCATATGAAGGAGACAACTTATTTGTTGGGAGAGTCTTCAAATCAAAGAATGATTGCAAAATCAAAATAACAATTTATGCTATTAACAGAAGATTCCACTTTCGTACAACTCGTTCAGCTCCAAAATTCATGGTTATGAACTGCATATCACCTTCATGTCCTTGGAGAATTTACACAGTTCAAGTTGACGACACATGAAACTTTCAAATTTGGCAAGCAACTCTCAAACACACCTGCTCTGTTGACGCGAGGAGGAACTATCATCGCCTAGCAACAACACAAGTCATTGGTGAGTTGATGCAGAGTAAATTCGTGGGAATTAAGAGAGGTTCATCACCATCTGGAATAAGGAAGATTCTGCTTGACGAATTTCATGTTAATGTCTCTTATTGGAAAGCATGGTGTGCTCGTGAGATTTCCATGGACAACACACATGGTTCAATGGCTGGAAGTTACGCTCTGGTTCCTGTCTATCTCGCGCTTCTACAAAACGCAAATCCAGGCACAATTTGTTACCTTGAGACAGTCACTGATCCCAAAGGAGGTACGAGGTTCAAATATTGCTTTATAGCTTATGGTGCTTTTGTTGCTGGATTTCAACACATGAGAAAAGTTATTGTGATTGATGGAACGAGTATGAAAGGAAGATATGGAGGTGTCTTACTTTCAGCCTGCACACAAGATGGAAATTTCCAAATCTTTCCATTAGCCTTTGCAATAGTTGATAGTGAGAACAACAATGCTTGGCAGTGGTTTCTTGAGAAGTTGAACACTTTTGTTCCTGATTCACCAGAACTGGTGTTTGTCTCAGATAGACACCAAAGCATATACAACGGACTTGAGAGAGTAAGATACTAATTTCATCATGTTTTCAAATTGCTAAATATTTTGTTTAATAACTCATTTAGATGAACACATAGATGAGCAGAAACTTTTTATCTATTGTTTCAGGTTTTTCCTCTTGCACATCACGATGTTTGTGTTGTGCATCTTTGGAGGAATATTAGATCAGGCTACAAGCCACGTCATGTCGCTAATCTTGTATCAGCTGTAGCTAGAGCTTTCACTATCCCTGAATTTAACAAAAAGTTTCTCGAGATACAAAAGTTGAATCCAGGATGCGCTGCATATTTGGTAGATATTGGTAAGTCATCAAGTGAACTTAGGATTTATATTGTGAAGTTAAATGTTGCATTTCAATTGTTAAACAAAAAATTGCACAAATAATTGTATAATTAGTATGGATACAGGATTTGAACATTGGACTAGAGTTCACTTCAAAGGGCAGGAGATACAACATCATGGATTCAAACAATGCAGAGTCTTGGAATGCTATTTTGAAGGAAGCAAGGGAATATCCTCTGATATGCATGCTTGAACATCAGTAATGGGCTGGTTTGCGATAAGGCGTACTAAACCATCCTCAAATGAAGACTCTCTAACACCCCATGTGAAGAAAATTATCGAGAAGAAGTTTGAAGAGTCTACTGGCCTTGTTGTTCGTGCAATTACTCAATTTGAGTTCCAAGTTCAAGCACAAGAAGGGGAATGTTTCACAGTTAGATTGGTGGAAGGAACTTGCTCTTGCATGGAATATCAACAGCTAGGAATTCCATGTGTTCATGCAATTGCTGCAGTAGGAAATATCAAGATACCAACAGAAGCTATCGTTTGTAAAGCTTTCTATGGGAATAGTTGGAAAAACGGGTTCGAGGGAAGAATTTATCCGGTACCATCAGTGGGAAATGTGGAAATAGGAGATGGTTTTAGAGGAGAACTCCTTCCTCCTGATGTTAAACGTCCAGCAGGAAGACCAAAGAAAATCCGCATTCTATCTAGTGGAGAATTCAAGGTACAAATCTATTTACACTACTGTTTAGCATTCTGGAAGGAAGAAGGGAGGGCGTAGATGCAGTCGTTGTAGTCGCCAGGGACACAACAAAACATCTTGTTGTTTCCCGATATGATCACAACTGTCTTAAAAACGGCCAACCAGCTGGGATAACAAAAACTATCGATTAGTAGATCGAACTAATGAATAAACCCATCAATATATGATGTGGAGGTTGCAGACTAGCTTTTTGTGGGTATAGGTTATCTATATAGAGAGTTATATTCATAGATGAAATATAACTCTATATTTAGACTATGTATAAACCATAATCCCCACTGTATATACGGCTTAGCTAGTCTCTTGTTGTTAGAAACTTCATTTCCAGCTGGTTCTTTTGTTGTAAAATATTAACAGCCATGCAATGTTTAATTATAGAATTATGAACTTATCTTGATCTTCAGTAGCCTTATCTTTGTTTAAATATTGTGAATTTGATCTCTTATAAATGTAAAACAGAGTAACATATGTTATTTCACACAAATAAGCATAAACAATCTATGTAGTATAACTACATAGACTACTGAACATATAAGACATAAGACTCTTAGCTTATTCATTTTAAGACTAAAAAAGTAGATGAACATATAAATGTATTTTCTATCTTAGTTAAAAAACTTGTTGCAAACATACACACAAGGACAACCCAAACCAAAAAAGAACATGAAATTACGGATGTTTGTAGTTGTAGGAGCTAAAACTGTAACCAAATGTTTAGCAATTTCTTCATCAACCAAACTCTGAACCTTCTCCCTCAGACCATTGTCAAAGACCAATGAAAGTTCTTTCGTCTTGATAAGACTATGCTCCATTTCCTTGATACGGAACGAGAGTTCAGATATCTCATCAACGAAAGCCTCATCAACCCATTTGAAAAAATGGTTATCATTACTAAGCTGCATAAAAGTAAAACACAAATTTACACATGCCATCACAATTTGCGCTAAAACAAGAAAAACATACAGTCACAATAATTGAAAATTTACCTTACGAGATACGGCCAAAAAACACCGATAATAACGCCTATAAGGATTATGAGTAGATTTGGAGATCAACTCCGAAATTTCTGAACCACACCAGCATTTCCTGGGAATACCACAAACTCTTCTTCTTTCTCTAGAGATTGAAATCTCACTTGAATTTGCAGAACTATTACTCATGCCTATAAGACACAAATCCCCTTAACAAAACAAAAACTAATCAAATCTTATTAGTAAGATGAAATAGTACTAAATATTTACCTCTTCTTTGAGATGAACTCGTGTACTTGTCGATGACTGATTTCTCGATTTAGGGTTTATATTGAAGAAGACAATGAATTTGGGAACTAAACCAAAAATATTAATATATAGGTGTACCGCACATTACCAAAAAAGGCGGTGAACCGGAATAACATTACTCGGTTCAAAATGATATCTCAATTCTCCACCATCTCTCTTTAGAAATTATAAGCAAAACATAAACAACAAAATTTAGTTTGATAAAAATTCATTCCAATCAAAACTAAACCGTATAAATAAAATACTAAACCCTAAACAAAAGAGACACAACACCAAACCCAATCACTAAACCGCAAACACAACTATACCCTAAAGATAAAATGCTAAACAGTAAACCAAAACCAATAAAAACCAACGACAATCATTAAACCACAAACCCAAGTATACCCAATAGATAAATAGCTAAACCCTAAACCATAGACCTTAAACCACAAACCATAAACACCAAACCCAACTATACCAAATAGAGAAAATAATAAACACTAAACGCATAAGAATAAACCCTAAACACAATAATTAAACCCAAACTAAACCCTATCATTAAACAATGAAAACTAATAGTGAAGAATAATAGATAAGAATCAATTATAGATCAAACTTAACCTTATACTTAAAATACTAAACCCTAAACCAAAGAGACACAACCCCAATCCTTAAACCACTAACCCAACTATACCCTATAGATAAAATACTAAACCCTAAACCAAAAACAATAAACCCCAACAACAATCAGTAAACCACAAACCCAAGTATATCCTATAGATAAATTACTATAACCTAAACCCTAAACCCTAAATACCCGAGGCTCTAACCCCAAACCCAATTATACCATATAGAGAAAATAATAAACCCTAAACGCATAAGAATAAACCCTAAACACAATAATTAAACCCAAACTAAACCCTATCATTAAACAATGAAAACTAATAGTGAAGAATAATAGATAAGAATCAATTACATTCAGATCCAACAAACATAAACAAAACATAAGATGTTAATAAGATTTTAAAAAGACAAAACAAATCCATGTTCAATAAAATTATCCGAAACAATTAACATACATATTGTTCCAATCAAGAAAACAAACAATCCATAAGCAAAACATCCAAGGCAAAACTAAGATTAAGATGAGTACATAAAAAACAGCCAAAGAACATTGATACATGGAAAAGGCAGTCTGACTATATTAAACTTTATTCCAATGATAAGCAATCAACAGCATAACATCGACCAGTTGTTTTGAGCAACGCATCATCAAGCTTAGCACAACAACTTAGCTGCTTAGTTGCATGTAACTCCATAAGAACAAATGCTGCAACTGCTGACAAACCTAATTTAAAGAACGTGAAATATATCAAATCTAAACATTCACAAAAACATTTCATTTAAATCAAGACAACCTAATAAGATGGAAATGTGAAACAATATACACACTTACCACATCTCTGAAATAGTATGTAGCTGTTACTTAATAATATCAAATGTTTTAAAAAAAAAACTTATGTATCATAAGTCGAACTTACCTTGCCATTAATCGAAGCGTTGCCCAATTTGGTATACAAATTTTTTAAAACAATATCATCAGACATCTCTTCATCATCGTCATCTTCCTTGTAACCAGTACCACCTACACCACATGTTTCACTCGCTTCAGATGGAACAGCAACCTATCAGACGACATTTATAACTGATTATAAGTAATCTTTTACATTAATTTATTGTCAAGATATCTACATATTATGTAATTTAGTATCAAGTGATATACGTACTCACCTTCGAACGGGATCTTCTTTTCACATTTGCCTTCTTTAATTTTCCTTGGATAACTGCATCACCAAGTTTCTTATTTGAAAGATCTCCAACACCTGAAACAATTAGATCAAATAAAGAAATTTAAACACCTAATAAATAACAATATATTAGTATTCTCCAAAACAAAAAATCATTAACATCCAAACTATTACCGTTTGAGTTATTCCCACTAAATCCACCGTTATTAAAACCTCCAATGGACTGTTGGTGGTGTATATCATGCGTATCTCCCTTTCTTCTCTCAAAGACCTCCTCAAACTCCATTTTAAGTTTATCAAAAAGAGATGTAATCTGAACTTCCAAACTTGCTAAAGCACTTTTCCACATATTTTCTGTCTGCTCTTCAAAACAAGCTGACACTTGTTTGACAAGCTTTGCTATGTCCACTGCTTCTTGTTCACCACCGGAGACCATCTTATTAGCAGAAGATGAAAGAGCATTACCATCTTCTTCAATCTCCGTTGATTGAATAATGACAGTCTTTGTTGGACAAATATGAGTAATTCCAGTTGCCTCACACTCTTCATCATCACCATCAGTATCATTTAAACCGGCTACATCAGACGCCTTAACACCTCCACGCCATGAATTGTGTTCAAAAGGAAAATCTTCAATGATCAAACCTGATATACCTCTAATTTACCCACTTTTTATACTGTTTTAGCATTGTTTTCTAATGGTTTTTGGCAGGTTTTCTATCTAAAAAGGTAGTTTTACTGTGTTTATAGTGTCTAGAGTCTAAACAGGTGAAATGATGCATTTTGGAGCAAAACCATAGGATTTGCACTTCAAGCAGCTCCATGCACAAGCACCAACTTTAAGAGGGCCCAGAAAAAGATCTACTCAATGGATTTCATCAAGACCAGTTCCCTGCGTGCTCTGATTGAGTTAACTTTCCAACGCAATTGGAATGGCTCATTTGGATGAGTAGAAAAGGAGTTATACCAAAAGAGTGGAGACTGTCCAGACGGCTCTATCGAGAAACAGCGCCCAACCGCGCAGTCCGGCTGGCCGAGGAACGCATGTTCCGCGCTCGGCCAAAGCTCGTCCGTCCGACTGAAGTCTCGGCCAAAGTCCAAAACCACTCGGCCGATCACGCATCACGACCCGGGAAACTCAAGCCCGCGGTCGGCCACGCCACACCGCCACGCCAACCGCGCACGACCAAAGCGCGCGAGCCGGGAAGTAAGCCTCGCGGCCGCGCAACTCGTTCACGTACCGCGCCGAACGCTCCGTCCGACCCGGGAGAACGCCCACGTCCGGCCGAGAGATTTCATCGGCCAAACTATCCGTCGACCACGCCGACCGACCGTGAATCCGTCCGACCCCGACCGTTCCGACTCGGCCACAACCCGATTGTCCGGCCGATCGTCCCGCACGACCGTCCCAACGCCGCGGTCGACCCGAAGCCCTTTTTGAAGCCCAAACTTATGTTTTCAAGCCCGGCTTAACCCTAAGCCGCCTCTAGAAAGACCTAGCACTATATATATGGATTTTTAGCCTCTTGAGAAAGAGAGCCGCCCTGTATTTCGATTTCCTACTCTAAGTTTTATTGCAATCATGTTTTCTTCATCTCTATGTGTGTTTGCTTTGATCATGTCTGAGTAATCCACTAGTTAGGTTGCTAGGGTTACTATTCAATGAGTTGCTTGCATGATCTTTGATTTCAATGATTAGCTAGGGATTATATTAGAGTCTTTGTCTCGTCTTGTGCACTTAACTAATGCTGATTGCTTTACCGCGCATCTAGTAATCCGATCTTAGGTTGATTTGAGCCTCGACAGTGCTGTATCATTCGCCGGACATATTCTTTGACAAGCTAGGTTTCTTAGACTGCGAAAGTTGATCTATCTATATCTAGTGAACTGTATCAGAACCTATTCATTCTAATGCTTGATCTAATCACCTAGGGACATACCAAAAGTTTAGCGACTAGGTAGATTAGCAAAGGAGCCGGAGCCTCGAAAGTGGAATGGTTTTATATTCGTGATCTGTGTTCTAGATGGTTCTTAATATCCCAATATCCCTAATCAATTAATCTATCATTGTTTCATTGATCATTGCTTGCTTCTCTGCGATAGCCCCTATGACCTAGCGCTTTTCCTTTATTGATTTACAACCTCGTTATACTTGCTAGTTCGGTTCACCATTACAACCTCAATCATACTTTTGTTTTAGCTTGATCCAAAATCCATAGTTTCAAAGTGTACTCAATAGCCAGTCCTTGTGTTCGATACCCATACTTCCGCGATCTGTGCACTTGCAGAGGTCTAGGAGTTTGGTAAAACCTGACTCCGCATCAAGTTTTTGGCGCCGTTGCCGGGGACTGCAGCAGTACCTTTGGAACTCGACTAGGATCTAGTCTAGAACCTTTTCCTGTTTTACTTTTCTTTTGCTTTTGAATTTTCAGTTTTTGATTTCCTTTTCTTTGATTTTTACTTTTGTTTTTGTTTTTCCCTTTTAGTTTAACTTGTTTCCAAGACTCTTTTCAGGTGCATGACTAGGAGGTCCAACAAGGACAACCTAGTTGAACATCCAGAGATAGACAAGCTTGAGAAGCAACTTAGGAAGCAGAAAGCCCAAGAGATGGCCGACGAAGCAGCTCGCGCTCACGCCGCTGAAGTGGCGCGCGCTCAAGAAGAAGGAAGAGATCCACCTCCTCCTCCTCCTAATCCACAAGACCCTGCTGGAGATGTGAACGCACAACCCCAAGCTGGAGCACCTACAATCGGAGACTATGACTCTGCCGATGCTTTCTTCATGGATAGAAACCCTATCCATCCACCACCCCTGCAAGGAATGACTATGAGATCAAGCCTCAGATCATTGCATTGGTTAGACAGAACCAATTCAATGGACTTCCAGCTGAGCACCCTCTTGATCACATAGAAAACTTTGAAGAAATTTGCAGCACTACAAGATCCAATGGAGTCTCTGCTGACTACCTTAAGTGCAAGCTCTTTTCATTCTCTCTTGGCGACAAAGCTTCAAGATGGTTGAAGTCTCTGCCAGCTCACTCCATCACCACTTGGGATGAGTACAAGGCTGCATTCATCAACCACTTCTACACCAAACAGAGATCAATTTCTGTGAGAAACAAGATCTCCACTTTCGCCAAGCAACAATGAATCTTTCTATGAGGCGCTAGATCGATTCAAGGAGTACATTAGGGACTGCCCTAATCATGGTTTCAATGAGGGAAACCTATGGAACATCTTCTATCGTGGCATAGACCACAAGTACAAGCTTTCATTGGACACTGCAAGCAATGGAAACTTCATGACCAAGACTGTTGATGAAGCTAAGGTTCTTATTGAGAATCTTGCAGCTAGTGATTGTAACAACTGTCCTGATTATGACCGCTCAAGCCGCACCACTACTAGCTCCCCTGATTCTTTTCAAATGACTGAACTCAAGAACATGATGGCTCAAGTTCTTAAGGGACAGCTCAAGCATATCAATGCAATAGAAGGGATGAGTGATGCTAATGAAGATTCATCAAGAGAATGCATGGGAGATTTCTCTAATGAAGCCAATGAAGAAGATGTGAACTACATTGGAAACTATGGGAACAAGGGATACAATCCAAGCTATCGCCCAAACCCAACATGTCTTATAGAAACCCCAATGTGGAGAATCCTCAAGACCAAGTGTATCCTCCAAGGTATCCACAACAACAAAGACCTCCTTACCAATCTCAAGGAAGTCAATTTCAGCCAAGGCAAGGATATGAGCAGAGATCATCATATCCGCCCAAGGAGCCATATGCTTCTTCACCAAATCAAGCTCCTCCAAACCAACAAGGTGGGAGATTTGAAGGAATCCTCCAACAGATCATGGATGGCCAGAAGAGAAACACTAAAGAGATGTATGAGAAGATGGACACTTTGTTCAGCAATCTCAACACCAAGTATGATGCTGTTGCCACTCATGTGAAGAAACTAGAGACTCAAGTCACTCAAACTATGGAAGCTGTTAAGAGACAGGAAGCTGAATCCAAGAAGTCCTTTTGCAACTCAGCCGCCATAGAAGAAAGATTTGAAGACCAAGTTCCAGAATGGATGCTTTCAAAACCTACTGTTGATTGCATGATTTGGCCTGAAGAGAATTACCCAGAGAGAGAGTCCAATCGAGCTAGAAAGAGAAGACTCTTCCCAAAGATTATCCCCAAGACAGATAACTCAGGAAAGTTTGTTGTGCCTTGTATCATCAAAGGTAACATTCTTGAGCAATCTTTGTGTGACACAGGAGCCAATGTGAACATCATGTCTAAGAGGATAGCTGACAAGATAGGCCTCACCAAGATAGAGCCATCATCCATCTCCATCAACTATGCTGATTCATTCTCACAAACACCCTATGGCTTTGTGCCTAATGTGATGGTGCAGATTGGAAATTGCTCTATCCCTACTGATTTCCAGATTGTGGAAATGAGAGAGAGTAGCCATAGACCTCTCATATTTGGAACCCCTTTCCTGTCTACTGTGGGTGCCATATTTGATTTCCCCAATCAAAGAATCTCTTTCAACAAGGTGAACAAGGGTATGTTCTTCCCTATGTGTTCAACAAAGAACTCTTTTGTTGACATGGTCCAAGAGGAGAAAGCTACTTTGAAGCCACCCCAAGAAGGAGAAACTGAAGAAACAATCAAGGAAGATCCCATTCCTAAGCCCAAGCAGCTTGCCAAACAAGCAAGGAGTAAGACTAAGGCCCCTACACCAAAACCGCCCAAGGGATCAACCAAGATTGAAGATGAGGCCAAGCCAAGAAGGAAGGTTAGAAAACCTAGGTCTGGCCGCAACATGAAGCTTCTATTCCCAGAGGAGCTTATTGATGAGAATCTAGAAGGATTCAAGGAGAAGTGACAAGAACTCTAAAGCTTTTTCCTAAGGCAGTAGTGCCAAGGGACATTCATGGAGAGATTGTCTATCCAGCTGTGAATCACCCACCAGATACTCATTGCAAGGAGAAAAGACTTGGAGGATCAAGGATGCCTCTTGTCTCTATCTTCTCCTGAGCGCCAAGCCTTACAGTCAAGCTAAAGACTTAAAACAAGCGCTGCATGGGAGGCAACCCATGAGGTACTTTTACTTTTCTTTCTTTAATTTTCTTAGTTTTTGTTTTGCTTTTGTGTTTTCTTTGTTTTAAGATAGGATAGAAGGAGAAAAAGGTGTGAAAACACAATCCGCGCCAAAACATTGGCCGCGGACGCGCAAAAGAATTTTGGCCGAGCAATTCTCATCTGGCCGACCGTTACGGTCGAGCCGGGAAGGAATAGCTCGTGCTCGGCCGGATTCATCTATTGCGTGACAGAAACGTTCGCGCGCACGACCGAAAAGAGCGGCCGCGATCGGCAACGGATCGGCTCGGAAATTTCGTATCGGAACGGACCGACCGTGCCGGTCGATCCGGGAAACAAACGATCGGCCTCGGCCGAAATTCTCTCGGCCAAAACAATTTGGCCGACCAAATCGCTCGACCGCGACAAAATCCATCGGCCATCGGCCCAAAATTTTCGGCCAAGGTAAGTCCCCTTTTCATTAAATTCAAACCGGTTTTAACCAATCTAAACCAACTTAAACCGGTTTTCAATCAAAATTCGAATTTGAAAAGGAAAATTGATAGGATTTAGATCTTATTTACTTCACCTTTCCCTTGAAAACCACAAGAACCTCTCTTTCTTCTCCAAAACCCTAAACTCCATTAGAGGAACTCTAAGAGTTTTGATTTCAAAACTTTTACTGTTCATAACTCTAAATTGGAATTACTTGCTCTTGCAACCTTATTCACTTTTCAACACACAAGGTATGTCTTCTAACTCTAATCCTATGTTTATGCAAGATCGAAAATCTTAATAAGTTTCATGTTTGGTCTAAACTCTTGTCTAGACTTGAAATTAGCATCCTTATAGTCTTGTAATGAACTTTGCTAGGTGGAACCTAGGTGGTTTAGAGTTAATTTGAAGTTTAATTTCACAATTGAATAGTTTTTCACAAAACTTATTGGGCATTCCAAACCCCTTATTCAAAGGTGAAATTGCTTGGCATACTTCAATTCATTAGTTTATCTAGTGATTACTTGGATTAGAAACTCAATTTCTCTTGATTTGCTGAAAATTTTGATTTTAAGCACCATAATCTTGGGATGAACAGTAAAATCCGAAAATTAATTTTGAAAAAGTGAAATTTCTATTTTGTCTCTTTGATTCATGATTAAGCCTTGAGTTGTTCCTTTATTCCATATCATTATTGCAACTCAATTAGCTTATTCTTCTTTTGCATTAATCACAAACTCATATTTCTTCCCAAGAATTTGCTCTTGTAGGTACACAATGGCAAAGACAAAAGGAAATGAGAGTATGAAGAAGAAGAAGAACCCATTCATGGAACCACCAAAGAAGCAAATCAAGCTAGGGAGTAGTAGCTCCAATGCAAGAGCAGAATACCAACTTCACCACATTCCATTGATGCAATCAAGAACATGTGGAGAGTCCAAGAAGAGGAGAAGATGATTGGGCACTTGTAACCTTTGTTGGAGAACAAAATCAAGACCCAAGAAAGTGTAAGAAGGCAATGGAGAAGGTGAACATCGAGCCATGTGTGAAGATGGACACCCAAACCCTTGATCTTCTCAAGATAAGAGATGATGTCACATGGTACATAAGGAAGCTAGGCTTGAGCAAGCTCTTCAAGCTAGAATGTAGTGAGTACTCACAACTCACCAAGGAGTTCCTCTCTACAGTAGCTCTTGCCTTTCCCAACCACAATGGAGACCAACCAGCTGGTGAAGGACTCCTACTCTTCAAGATAGGCGATGCCAATGGGCGCATATCCATCTCAGCTCTATGCCAACTCTTTGGACTTCCCAATGAGACAGCACATGACTTCAAGGAGAACTCAAAGAGGAAACAAGCTGCCTTTGCTGATTGGACACACTTTGCCAATGAACCATTCTTGCCTTCAAGGTCAAAGGTGTCTAGAATCACTCATCCAGCCATTCGCTATGTGCACCGCCTCATCTCCACCACTTTCCAATGCAAACAAGAAGCCAACAAGGTCACAACTGATGAGTTCTACATCCTCACCACACCATTCATCAAGCATGAGTACAAGGCCAACCTTGGACTTTTACTTGCCAAGACATTCATCAATGTGAGGAAGCTAGCTAAAGACTTGGAAGGCAACAAGAAGCTTTGTGTTCGTTTTGGGAGGCTTATCACGGCCATAGTACTGCATGTGGGGATTGACATTCCCAACTATGAGCCACTACCCAAGCCAACCCCTTTGGATCTCCATGCTCTTCAGCACATCCACTTCCTAAACCGTTGGACTAAAGACCCAACTCGGTTTTGCTATGAGTTTCCAATTGGTCCAGCCAACACTTCCCTTGTCTTGCTGCCACATGAGGACATCCCAAGCCTACGCTCAGGAGTTGTCACTTTCCAGCCCAATGAGGAAGATTCTATGTTCCATCAAGTGAGAAACCATCATTCCCCATGCTCACATATCGCACACTTCAGCATGCAGTCAAGACTCAACGCCGCCTCCAAGAACGCCATGTTCTCACTACTGGCATGGCTGCGCACCAGGCTCTAGACCGTGTTAACAAGCTGGAGAAGATAGTGGAGTGCCAATGATGATAGGATTTGCGTGTGTGTGATATGAAATGAGGTGGAATGCAAACAGGGGTGAATAAAGATGAATGGTATGGTGCAATCACAATCAATCAATTCCTCTTAACCATCATAGTCATTGAAGTATAAGAGGTTATCAATCCAAAATGGGAAACTTGTCACTCTATGAGAATATGAAACAACCAGAAGTCAAGCAAGCAGTATAGATTTGAAGTAACACTAACAACCTAAAAAAATGAAAAGCAGTGCAATAAAAGTAAACAAAGCAGTGAAGTCAGCTCGACCAAGAGCTCGAGTCGAGTAGAGCAAAGTACCAGCTCGATCGAGTTTAGGGACGAGTTGAGACAAACAAAGCTAAAGGTGACGACTTTAACAAGATAAAGAGAGAATTAGGGTTCAAGACAGGGTTTTGCAATCAAAGGAATCTACACTTAATCAATCTAGCTCTTAAAACTCCTTGTATCAAGGCTTCTCTTGATATTGGGCTTCTCAATGCCTAGCCAACCCTTTCCCAAGGTGAGGCTATCAACCAAGGAATGATCTCAGAAACAGGGGGTTAGCCAGTGAGAATCAAACCTTGGAGGCTATAGGATCATTGCCCAAACTAATCCATCCAACCCCTTAGACCTCTATTTCTAGAGCAAGAGATATTGGAGCTCTTAGTGGATCTTTTCCAGCGAATGCCATCACTTCGTGTGGGGAGTCGCCTAAGGACTTACAAGCCAGGGGTAGTGGTCATGTAGCCTTAAGATCTATCCAAAAGAGAGAGAATCTAGATTAAGACCATAAGCTAGAAGGATTAAGCATATGAAACCTCTAATCTATCCCATCTCAAACCCTAATGGGTAACTACTCACTACACATGAATGTAAACACAAGCAAATGCAATAAAAGAGACATCATAAGAAAGAGGAGATGAAATAAACAACTTTTATTGAAATAAGCAAGTGCAAATACAAGAGATTATCCAGGATCTAGGATTCAAGAAGCAAGAGCTTCAAGAACACAAAGATGGGATTAGATCTCTAAAAAGTAAAAGACAATAAATTAAAAGAAACTAAAACAAAATAATCTAAAGCTTGGTGGTTTTTTCGTGGCTTAGAGCCTTTAAATACAAAGAGGATTAGGTTTAGGGTCAAAGGAAAGTCAAGGGGGAAGCAACATTTTTCGGGTTTGACTTTGACTTCTCAGCTCGATCGAGTTGAAGCTTGGCCGGTCGAGTTGAGGAACTCGACCGGTTGGTCGAGTAGACGGTCGAGCTGGTCTTCAAGATGGCTTCTCCCTTCTTCCTTTGCGTATCCAGTTGAGCTGCGTCCATGTGCCAAGTCCCTCCATGCTCCTTGTCCCATATGCTCCAGAATGCTCCAAAAGACCTATTTCAAAGGACCAAACATGCATATGTATGCAAATGCAACCTAAAACTAACATGAATGCATAAGAAGAGAAAAGGAACAAGATATGATGCAAATGGAAGCTAAAACTATGCAAAAGATGCATAAAAGATGTGCTAAAACTATGTAAAATGCAAGTACATCAACACCCCCAAACTTGAACTTTGCTTGCCCTCAAGCAAACAAATAGAACAAGAAAGAGATGAGGTTTGAAAACAAGCTGATTCAACACTTAAAAACATGTCCTCAAAAGCGATTTGCTAAATGTCCAACTTAGAGATTCTAGAATGCAACAAGGTGAGAGATATTCATTAAGATTTAACCATGCTTATCAACATCAATCCCACTTCACAGTCACTCAAACAATGCATTCAAATCAGCAAATCCCTTTAACATTCATTAAGCAAAAACAGTGAACCAAAAACATGCAAGATCAATCAACTCATTTGGTTTCAAGGGTTTATGGGTTAAGAGACAAAGAGGGTCTCTTTTGTATGGTGGTTTAGTAACAGGGATCTCTCAAGAAAGTGGCTTTGCTTTGGCAGAAGGCTAAGTGTTAGAACCAAAGATGATGCAAGAACAGCAGCTCGAGCCGCCTAATCCTAACTCGATCGAGTTCAACACTTAGAGCTTTTTAGAACAAAATCCTAACTACCCTTTTTGGCATTTCGCCTTTGAAACTGAGGAGCTTTGCTCACTTTTCTTTTAAGAACTTCCTAGGGAGAGGCTTCTTGAGGTAACATCTAGCGGTTTGGGATTTTCTAAACACTTAGGGAACTTTTCTTTCCTTTTTGACACTTGAGGCTTTGCCTTCTTTTCATTCTACTTAGAACCCTTTTTACTTTCCTTTTTTAACTTCCCAAACCTTTACTAGACCCTTTTTAAACTGCCAACTCCCTGGACTTAACTAAACTCTTTTTCCTTTGGGTTTTTCCCAACTTTTACCACTTTTCTGGTTTTTACACCCAACTCGATCGAGCTCGAGTTGGCACCCCCAAACTTAGCCTGAAAACAATCCCAAGAGAACTAGACAACTAGAACTACTGCCCCTGCCGGTTTAAACACAACACCTTATGCTAAGCAAAGCCAAGAAAGGTTCTCACAATTCGCACAAGAGATAAAATGGGGTTTGAAATGAAAAGGCTTAGGTTTAAGGTGTGGTAACTGTCTCAAAGATAGAGATCAGCTATAAAATAGGTAAAGAATGTCCAGATATGTATGTGGTAGCCATGAGTTGAAATCAAATGCAAGCATTGGTAATTAAAGATCAAGTTATGGTTCAAATAGATAGGGAAATGCATCAAATCACAGCAATGGTTGAATGAGATGTGCATGCAGTGATATGATCAAGATAAACATGGTTCTTGTTGCTCAATCAATCTCACCCTAATGCACAAAAGAATCTAAAAACAGGGCACTCAAGAAATCGCAAAAGATGGACAAAGTGCCTCATCAAGCCTTGTTGACCAATCCTTCCTAGTAAAGCTCACTGTCTTCTCCAGAATGGCATTTATCTGTCTATTGGAGACCTTAACTTGCCCACTGGTTTGAGGATGGTAAGGTGTAGCGACCTTGTGCTTGACTCCATAACTCTTCATCAACTTCTCAAACACTTTATTGATGAAATGGGAACCTCCATCCGAAATAACAACCCTTGGGATGCCATATCTTGGAAAGATGATGGTTCTAAACAGTTTGATAACAACCTTAGCATCGCAGGCTGGGGAGGGGATGGCTTCAATCCATTTGGACACATAGTCTACAGCGACTAGAATGTAGTTGTGCCCGTTTGAGGAAGGCTTGAAAGGTCCCATGAAGTCTATTCCCCATACATCAAAGATCTCAACTTCCAGAATCGGGTTCAGTGGCATTTCATCTCTCTTGGTGATACTTCCTTTCCTTTGGCATGGATCACACTTTGCGATGAAGCTTGCTGCATCTTTAAACAAGGTAGGCCACCACAACCCAGATTGCAGAACCTTGGTTGCTGTTTTGAATGTAGCAAAGTGACCTCCATAAGCTGACCCATGGCAATGCTATAGAACTCCTTGTACATCCTCTTCAGCTATGCATCTTCAGTAAATGCTGTCTGGTCCTCTCTTGTACAAGTAAGGCTCATCCCAATAGTAATGCCTAGCATCCTTGAAGAATTTCTTCCTCTTGTAAGCATCAAAGTTACTAGGGACTTCTCCGGACACCATGAAGTTCACTATATCAGCATACCATGGCAAATTCTCATCACGCAGAGCCTTAACTTCTTCCAGCCTGACCTTCTCATCAAAACTCTCCTTCAAGATCATGATTGCCATAAGCTGTTCTTCAGGCATAGAATCATTGATGGGGATCATGTCTTCAACTCGCATCCTAGAGAGATGATCAGCAACTCCATTTTCTACTCCCTTTTTGTCCACAACTTCTATGTCAAACTCTTGAAGCAAAAGGATCCATCTGAGAAGTCTTGGCTTTGTATCTTTCATAGCGAAGATGTGCCTAAGGGCAGCATGGTCAGTGA